TATATATATATATATATATATATATATATATATATATATATATATATAGAAAGGTAATTTCAATTGAGAAAAAAAAAGTTGAGATACAAGGAATTATAAATAGCCATACATTTATTTTTTACCGCAAAACGTTCCGTTGTACCATCACAATGGGGGAGAGTTAATATTCATATGTGAATATAAATTTAGGTATATTCATATATGAATCTACCACCTCCCATCTTACCTATCATCTCCCCGTTGTCACTTACACAACCTCTACCACCACCACCACCTCTGTCACTGTCACCGTTACCGTCACCACCACCACCGCCACCACTTCCATCGCCACCGCTACCCCTGTCATCACCATTCTCTCTGCTTTTGCTACCGTTACCAACTATCACAACCTCCGCCACCGCTACCACCACTACCATTGTTACTTCCAGCACCACCACCGCCGCCACTGTCACCATTACCATCACTGTGACTGTCGTTGTTACCCCTATCACCGCCTCCACCAACCGTCGTAATCATATGTAAGTAAAGATATGTGAATACACTACGTAATATTTATATATGAATATACTTATTCATATATGAATATTATGTTGAGATAATGACTTGAAAGGATAACGAATTTTAAACTTTGTTCACATTTAGCTGAACAAGATATGTTCTATAGGCTCGTGCCTCTGTATTCTTGATTCTTAAGAAGACATAAACCCATGTGTGTTTGATGAACCACGACCATGTAACCAGAGCATGATTAATAGAGTTTTTCTCATGGTTCCGGCCATGGCTCGATAGATGATCGTTGCCTACCCATCTTAATGTGTCTTGGCATGGCTACATGGTTGTCTGACATATTGAAGAGCATGCAGTTCATGTAAAAAGCTGTCGGGGTTCAAATACAGGCACAATATGGTTAGGAATGTTTTTTCGACATATTTAAGCGTGTCGGGGTTTCCACCAAGAAAGAGGCACCTATGACTTTCTTGACTGACCCGACAAAAGGAATGTCAACCCTTAGACCGGCTGACGTTTTGATTTTTGGATGGATTGGAGGGAAACACGCATGTGTGGACCTTACATGGGTATCACCTCACTTGGGCTTGAGGATCAGGGGTTTCACGGACGATCAGCACGTGTTCATACCATTTATATTTGATACATTTGGTTTCCTTGCGCCGGATGCGGTGGAGCTTCTTAATAGCGTACAACGAATCATGCATAGCAATGTTATATCCCCTAGATCTATGGATGAGTCTTCAAAAGAATTGGCTTTACCATACAAAAAGGCTTAGTGAAGCAACTTGTTGCCCGTTTTCCTTCTCGTTTGTTGTACGATGATAACTAATATTTATTAGTCATTGTATGAATTGATTTGATATAAAAAAAATAGTCACTAAACCTTTTTCATGTTTTATTTTCCCCAAAATTATTTAAAATTGTTTCAATTTTATCCTTATGACCGGTTACAAAAGGTTATAAGGGTAAAATGTGAACAATTTCAAATAATTCATGGGTAAATCAAGCACGAAAAAAAAGTTCAGTAACTAAATGTGAACAAAGTTGAAAATTCGTTAACCTTTCAAGTTATTATCTCTTTTTGTAATCATCCATTAGTTTAATTTACATATCGGTACCAATAACTTAGATTAATAATTTTCATTTCAGTCACTATGTTTGTTTTGTGTTGTGTTTTGAAGGAGTACTATAGAATAGAATATGTACCACATAACCATTTTGTAATTCATGGTATTAATCCTAGTCTATGAGATAAACTTTTAACTAGATTTACTTTATTCATTCCATGTTTTATTTTTTTATTTATAATTACAATTTTATAGGTTATAATGGGACATCCTTTATCCAACCACATATTATAATAATTCTTGTACTTCATATATATTACAAACTTTTATGCTATTTACAAAGAAATGTTGTGAACACAACACTACTTGTGTGCATTATGTACAAAACATTTGTTTCAAGCTATATCAATAGATATAATAACGAGAGAGTTTCAACGTAGCATTATGAATGACATTAGTTGCGACATGTCACCACTAAAGGTAATTGTGATAACTCTTGATACGTTTGGTGGTGACATATGTCGCCCGTTATGCCCTTAAATCTTGTAGTGAAGGAAATATAATATTTAAATCATAAAAATTATACCCTACACCTATATAAAATAATATAATAAATTTATTAAGAACTCGTGAGAACATAATAGTGTCATTTACCAAGGTAAAAGAATTTATTTATGGGATAATGACAAGAAAGGGTAACGAACTTTCAGTTTTATTCACATTTAGTCATTGAACTTTTTTTGTGCTTGATTTACCCTGAATTATTTGAAATTGTTCACATTTTACCCATATGACCGATTGTAACCGATCATAAGAGTAAAATGTCAACAATTTTAAATAATTCATGGGTAAATTTATACGTATTTTAAGTACTAGTTTTAAAAGAAACTGTTTTAGACTAACTAATACGTAATAGGCAGTGTGTCTAATCAATTAATAGGATAGTTCAGGCAAGTAGGGTATCGAACACAGGGAACGGAAATAACAGCTAAAATTACCTACTAAAGTTATCTAAGTTAATTAAGCAAATAAACAGGGGGGGTTTCTAGTTTTTCAAGTCTAGAAACTTAAAAGCAATTAGCAAAGAAATACTTTAAACTAAAGAAAAAACAAGAAAACAGTTTTTAAATCAATATATTAAAGAGGCTTTCATTTAGATACAATTCACTTGCTCTTATGGTTGATTTCGTGGAAAGTGCAATGGATTATAGTGTTGTTGTTTACTGATTCCTAGATTGATTAGAATTATGATCAAAAGAATAATACTTTAGCTAAACTAATTCATTCATTAAGTGATCAATTGGATAAATAAACAAGCGAGCTAGTGTGAAGTTTGAATTAAGGAAGACTTATAATTTTAATCGATATAAATGGTTTATAGATATCAATTAAATACATGATTGTTCTTCACTTATCATCTCTTATATCAATTTACCAACTTTTCTATTTAACCCTAGTTTTTTTGTCAAAACACTAGTCCTATAACCTTGTTACTCACAAAATCATAAGATTCAAGCCAACTAAGAAAGATAGTTCATCAAATCTTAATTAAACTCAGCAATAAACAAAAAAGAAGTTGTCATTAACATAAAAGGTTCTTTTAACAAGCAACCATAATAAATAAACAATTAGCAATAATCCAAATCCACTCAATCAACACATAGTATGCAAGATCGTCTACTATAAACGAAAGTTATGGTTTTTAGACCATAACTACTTCAAACAAACAAGTAAAAACAAAAATCACTTTGACAGGCATGATCAAAACAAAGCAATAGAGTAATTAGAATTAATGTTGCCTTTAGATCTCTTTAAAATCAAGCTCTCAAACGAATTTTGCACTCCAAATCCTCCAAGGGATGTCACTGATCTTTAAAAGTTGTCAATAGCTTCTATCATAAGTTAAGGTTGAGAGCTAAAACGATTACTATAGTTGCCAAAAATCACCTCCCACGCCGTGGGCATCAAATTTCTTGATTTCGTTGACGTTGATTGACTTGGTCCAATATTCCTACTTCCAGCTCCGCAGTTGCTTCCTTTACATCCCGAGCATGTCTCCGCTGCTACAAATAAGAATTTAATCAAATTCAGCATCTTTTGTCCAATAATGAGCACGATTCTAGCTAAAAATATTAAGATGTTGCACCAAGTATATGATTGAATATGCACATATCATAAGTCAAGCACAAAAAAAAAGTTCAGTGATTAAATGTAAACAAAGCTGAAAGTTCGTTATCATCAAGTGATTATCCCTATTATATTTTCTTTCATCTTAGTATATTGAAGGCTTAAGCGGCAGATTAAGAAATATGTGGCCCAGATTCATTTACGCGTTCACGACCTTTTCTCTTAATCTTCCTCTCTCTCTCTCTCTCTCTCTCTCTCTCTCTCTCTCTCTCTCTCTCTCTCTCTCTCTCTTTCTCTCTC